GTCGGGCTCTTCTAGCCGTGGTCTTTGTGACGCCCAATATGACTGGGAGAGACTGTGCAAATGTGAGGTGCTTGTGGCTCACCAAGAGGATCGGACAGCTTGTGAGTAATGGACAGCTTGTGAGTAATGTAAATAAGTTACATGGCATCCTTGTTGGGGGAACAATGAAAATAAAGTGCACAGAACTATAATGTGGGGACTGGTTAGTTTTGTCACTCTGCTAGGTTTAAAATGACCCCACCTAGAGGCAAAAGGAGGATCTCACTGCCATCAAGAGAGAAAAGCTAGAGGGGGAGTGGAATCTGCTGGAATCCCTGAGACTATGGTCCTGGGTTATCCTTTGGACCAGGATCCCTGCGCTGGACCTCCTTGGCAGAGATAACTGGCTGATGAACCAAGAGGCACAAGACAGAGCAGAAGCCTTGCTGGCCCACAGAGCTAGAAAGCTGTGTGCCCTTGGGCAAGAGACTTGCTTGCAAAGTGGAGTGCAACTAGGTGTACCTACTGGCAGAGCTAGAAGAGCTTCTAACACTTGTCTGAGCAGGGCAGGGGCCAGGCCGAGAGGCCAAGTGCCAGAGACGGGTGTCAACGCACAGCAGAGGACAGACTATCCCGACTGAAGAAATGTATTCTGACAGAACTCCTGATCCTGAATTGTTACCTGTTACTTCCCTAATAAACCCCATAATCATGAATATTGTCTGTGAATTGTGTGTGGCTATTTCAATGCATTGTCAACCCCAGCAGAGAAATGGTGAGTGCAGTGGGAGGGATACTTGGTGTCAAGAGTTAGTAAAAAGGTTGGAGGGTGATGGCATGTCTAATCTCATAGGAATAAGCCTTGGCTGCTGATGGTGATTCTGTCTTCCTCTTGTGAGACTGTACTTTTTACATCTCCAGAGGGTTTTCAAGGCTGTAACCTTTAGGAAGCAGATCACCAGGCCTGCCTTACAAGGTGCCCCTGGAGGGTTCAAGTTGTCAACCTTTCAGTTAGTAGTCAAGTGCTTAATCTTCATAGCACCAGGGACTCCAGGAAAGGTGGGTAATGAGATGGGGTACTATTGAGGCTCACACTGCGTTAAGAAAGTAAGTGTACCTCTGAAGCAAATCAACCTTGGGATGGTTATTCCATATTCAAGTACAAGCATGAAGAACCCAGCTGGACATAGGAATCTTATCACCAGTATGTGAATACTACATTAGGGCAGAGGACTGGATACAATATTAATGGAAGAAGCTGAGGTGGCATGATGGTTAAGCGCTTGGCTGCTAACCAAAAGGTTGGCAGTTTGAACCCACCAGCACCTGCACGGGAGAAAAGCCCTGGCTATCTGTTCCCAGAAAGACGACAGCCTAGGAAACCCTATGAGGTAGTGTTACTGTCACACAGGGTCACTTTCAGTCAGAATCAACTAAATGACACATAACAAGAACAATGTTAATGGATACTGATTGCCAGGCCTTTTCTTCCACAGTGATACTGGGTGGGTGAGTTTGAACAGCCAACCTTTAGGATACCAGTTGAATGCAAACCATTTGCACCTCCCAGGGACCTTATTTCTCTTATATTTGCTATTAAGATCTTTACTGCTGAAAGGTTTCCTTTCTTTCTCACTAAATTCAATTTTAGCTTAATTAAGAAGCTCCTTGCTGTGGTGGTTAAGGCATTTGGCTACTAAGCAAAAGGTCAGCAGATTGAACCCAACAGCCACTCCGTAGGAAAAAGTCTGCTTCTGTAAAGATTTACAGCTTTGCAAACCCAATGGGGATCACTATGACTCAGAACTGGCTCCGTGGCAGTGAGTTTGGTTTTGGTGTAGCACACGTTTGGCTTGTGGTTCTCCAACCAGGGTCAAGAAGAATACTTACAGGATTGTAGAAAGACTTGCCCAGGCTGTCCCTGCAAATCCGAGAAAACAGACTTTCTGAGGGGCAGGCCTCAGTACATGTATGATGAAACCATGTGTTCAGAGCAAGTGGACTGAACTGTGGCCTCCAAAATGTGTGTTGCCATCCTAATCCCTACACCTGTGAAAGTAATCCCACTTGGGAACAGGGTTTTCTGTGTTATGTTAATGAAGACGCAACAGTGTGGGGGTGCCTAAAACCCAATCACTTCTGAGGTATGAAAAGAACAGATTAGGCCCAGAAAAGCAAGCACGGAGGGGAGCAGAAACACCAAGTGGGAATCGCTGAGAACCAAGGAATGCTGGGTCTACACAAACTCAGAGAGCCCTTCCCCAGGGCTGACAGAGAGAAAGCCTTGCCCTGGAGACCTGGAAACAAAATTCAAAAACACAAAAATGACCAGAATTATTGTTTGGATAGAGTCTGGTGGAACCCCTGAGACTATGGTCCTGGGTTATCCTTCAGGCCTGGAACTGGACTCACTGCCGTGGGTTAGCTCTCAGGGAAACAGCAGAAAGATCTATAAGCAGAACAACTACCCCAGGGAAGTACATGCACCTACCTTAGGGAGATACACCCCCTGGATCAATCAGCCATGAGCTATCAGAGGGGTCGCATTCACATACAGGGAAAGCTGGACAGACAGGAATGCGTCGACAGGAAGGGTCTCAGGAGGGGGCGGTCACTGGGAGCAGAGAGAGGGAGAGCTCTTTGTGGCTGGGGATGGTAAATGGGGCTGGGAAACCAAATGTGCAGGAACCATTGAGAGCAAAATGAGCATGCTTTGTAAATGTGCACTCGTATCACAACTGAAAATAAAACAACTGTGTAACACAGGGGTGATTAGGTGTCAAAATTCACTCAATGACACCGACCAACCAGCACCAAGCAATCGGAGCAAAGCACACATGAGGCTGACGCTCTGCTCGGGGCTGGGAACTAAGGAGAAATGTTTTAAATCAACAGGAAGAGCAGACTTTAAAATATAGAACTGAAGAGGAAGTGCAGTGAATTGCTTGATGTGGCCCTTCTAACCATTGTCCTCCATTCTGTGGTGTTTGGTAAATCCCATTATCTATGCCTGTTTGGGGTGGTGTGGTAGTTAAGTTCAGGTATCAACTTAGCTGGGCAGCTGGTAGTACTCATTCCCTATAATGACTGGCAGTTGGAATTCAGACCTTGGCAGTTGTAACTGGTAGATTGGGCTGGAGCACTGCTGGTGGAAGTCAAGTTCCTGAGGGCAAAGAAATCACCCAAACTTCCCTGAGGATATACCTACGAATCTCCTGGGATGATTGGCTTCTCCTCTTGCTCCGGTTTTGTTACTTGGATCATCCTCATCTCACCCCCGGATTTGGGACAATAGCCGCCTTCTGATCTACTGATCGAGGTTCATCAAACCCCGAGAGTTGGGAGGATCCGCCACACCTACTCACGGACCCGGGACTAGCCAGCCTGCCAGCCTCCACCACTACTACATGAAACGAACCCTTGGGTGTGAGTTCTGTGACGCGTTACAGCGAAATTCAGAACCCTGAGACTGGGGAAATTACTAGGAGGAGGAGGAGGGATTAATGTCTAAAATGATAGAGTGGTATGCTAGTTTGGATACTTGGGACATTCTTGACCTCCGCCTCACGGGGACTAACCTCGTGCTAATCTTTCTAACAGAAATTGTTCAAGCATGAAGGAAGTTTCCAGGTAAGCGTACAGCAGCCAGAATACACGCTGTGCGATAACAGAAGACTGAAACCACACCCACTGCCATTGAGTCGATTCCAACTCATAGCAACCTGTAACAGAAGAGGTATTTAAGTTTTCAAAAGGTAGAGGGAATAGGTTTTCTCAAAGGGA